AAAAAATCCCAGCTGGCCATTTTGCAGAAACTGACAAGCTGGTCCTAAAATCTGTATAGAAACACAAGAGACTCAGAATAGTCAAAACAATCTTGAAAAAGAAGAAGAAAATTGAGGACTCAGACTTTCCAATTTCAAAACCTACTACAAAGTTACAGTAATCAAGACAATGTGATACTGGTAAAGGATAGACATATATATCAATGGAACAGAACTGAGAGGCCAAAAATAAACCTTTACATTTATGGTCAATCGATCTTTCACAAGGGTGCCAAAACAATTCAGTGGGATGAAGAATAGTCTCTTTAAAAAATGATACTGAGGAAAAAAAAAAAAAAAAATGATACTGAGGAAGCTGGCTATCCATGTGCAAAAGAATCAATTTGGATCCTTACCTCACATTGTACACAAAATGGGAAGTAGCCCTAAAACTTAAAAAATCCTAGAAGAAAATATAGGAGTAAATCTTTGTGACCTTGGGTTAGGCAACAGTTTCTTGGATACAATATCAAAAGCACAAATGACAAGAGAAAAAACAAAGAAATTGGACTTCATCAAAATTAGAAAATTTTTTGTGTTAAAAGACACCATCAAGAAAGGATGGGGCCATCCCCATGGCTGAGTGGTTAAGTTCACATGCTCTGCTTTGGCAGCCTGGGGTTTCACCGGTTTGGATCCTGGGCGCAGACATGGCACCACTCATTAGGCCATGTTGAGGTGGCATCCTACATACCACAACTAGAAGGACCCACAACTAAAATATACAACTATGTACTGGGGGGATTTGGGGAGAAAAAGCACACACAAAAAAAGATTGGCAACAGTTGTTAGCTCAGGTGCCAATCTTTAAAAAAAAAAAAAGAAAGAAAGAAAGAAAATGAAAAGACAATCAACAGAATAAGAAAAAATACTTGCAAATCATTATATGAGAAGGGACTTATATCCACAATATATAAAGAACACTGACAACTCAATAATAAAAAGGCAAATAACATAATTAAAATATGAGCAAAGAATCTGCATATGAGGCATTTTTCCCAAGAAAATATACAAATGGCAATAAGCATACAGAAAGATGTTCAACATCATTAGCCATCAGGGAAATACAAATAAAACTACAATGGGATATCACTTCATACTTACTAGGATGGCTGTAATCAAAAAGATGAACATTAACAAGCATTGGTAAGGATACGGAGAAATTGGAACTCTCATTTTGGATGTTGAAAATATTCTAGAATTAGATTGTGTTGATGACTGCCCAATTCTGAATATATTAAAGACAACTGAACTGTATACTTTAAGTGAATTTATGGTATGTGAATATATTTTGACAAATCTCTAAAAAGATAAAAGCCTCAACAGGGAAAACAGCACAAGAATTAAAAAAGTAACAGCAAGTTTACCACACAGCTCTATTCTGAATAGACAACATAATAGTAATAACAATAATAACTCAATTTAACCAAAATTATGACCCTGTATTGGGAAGATAGCATAATGGGGAGTGTGAAGAGGTTTGGGAGTAGTGGGGACACAGGAAAGAGAGCTAAATCCTCATCTCACAAAGTAAGAAGTCAATAGATAATGTTGAAAACTACAAAAAAACTCCCAAAGAAATAGAAATGCACAAATATTATTTAGAGATATAGACATACATATCAAAGAATCAGCTAAAAGATTTGAAAGTAGTTGCTCCTGGGAAAGGGGAACTGTGAGGCAGGATGTCTGAGGACTGCTATTTATCTTATTTACCCTTGTAGAACTAGTTGACTTGTTAAACTATAACACCAATAAAATTTTAAAGACCTAAAACCAAAAATAAAGGCATCAAAGACTTTACAGAAGTAGACCCTCTGGAGTCCAGTTCTGCTTATAACATCTTGTGAGAGACTAAATAAGTCAGTCATTAGGAAAATGAGCATATATTCTGTCTCACCTTCAACTTCCCATTACCTTAGGCCTTGATGGCTAACGTAAAATGAATCTTTAAGCTTGAATTTCAAGCTTATTACTGTATATCTATTGATAACATCAGGATCCCCTTTGGCTGGTTCAGTGCTTGGAAGACTTTTGCTCTCGGTTCAGTCATTCTCTTCAGCACTATCCCCATCAATTCATGGTTATTATAAAATCCACATACATACCTTGGTTTCTCAGTTTCCTAATCTCCTTCTTTTACAATAGCCTTGTCCTTTCACTCACTTAAGCCACTTATTCCTAGACCTTATTATTACCAATACCTGCAAATCTTTCATCATCTTAATTTCAATCAATTTTCCCAGCTCCCATTAGTACTCCAATTCCAACAAGCCTTCATTCTCAGAGGATCCTCAATTCACTGATCTTACCACTTTACACTGTCCCTCAGCCCCATTATATCCTCACTTCCCTCCCTACCCAATTTAAATCCTACAGTCAGTCATTATAATCATCCTCTCATAATAATCTCATTATAGTCATCCTCTCTACCTTTAGCCCTTAGCCCTCCACTCACTCCGTCCTCACATACTTGTGGATTTAAACCACATCCCTGGTTAATTCCCACTCTCCACCTACAGTGTACTTGTACCTGTGCAGCAGACATACAACCACACTGACTGATCACTTTCAATTAATGACTGCTTGCCTCAAGTTGATCTTACACCCAACAATCATATGTCCCTGGTCCATTTACTGTTCTATTCTCTACGTGACTACTTCAAACCTTCTTATCTCTCCTCAAATCTCTACCACCTCCTTCCTCATCTTTATTCTCAGTTGATGATCCTGATTCCTATCTCACTAAGAAAACAGAAGGGATCAGAACAGAAGGAAACTTCCACCAGTTCTAACCATCCCATCTATCCACCTACCTTCACTGTGCCTGCATATTCTGCCTTCTCTCCAATTATCATGGATGAACTATCCAAGCTCCTGGGAAAGCCCTACCCGTCTACCTGTATATTAGATATCATCCCCTCACAAATACTTGAGGATACAGCTCTAGCCAATTTCCCTGCATCAATTTTCCCCCTCTCTACAGGATCCTTCCAATCACATACAAAATCCTATATTCCCATTAAAAAAATATACATATATACGCACACATATATATACCAAAACAAAAACTTCAACACTGCTTCTTTCTTCAGCTAGCACTTCATTTCTCTCCTTTCCTTTCTAGCAAAACTCCTTGAAAAGGCCTTCTATACTTGTAGTCTCCAAGTTCTCTTTTTCCATCCTCCTAAACAACACTAATCAGACCACTGACACTCCACCAAAACTGCTCTCATTAAAATCAGCAAATAACCCTCACAGTGCCAAACCCAAAGGTCACTTTTTACCCCTCATCTTGTGTGGCATGCCAAAAACACTTGACCAAATCCATCCCTCTCTCCTTTATTTACTCAGCTTCTAGGACACAATACTCTCCTGGTTTTTCCTTTACTCCTCTACTTGTGCTTGCTCTTTCACCTCTCCAACCTCTAAACAATGGGCTATTCCAAGGCTCAGGCGCCAGACTTATTCTCTTTTCTATTATAGTTACCTTCATCTGTACGATGATGAATCACACGTTTATAACTCCAGCCCTGAATTGCAGAATTAAACATCTACCTGCCTCTCTGACATCTCCATTTGGATGCCTAAGAATCATATCAAACAATATATGCAAATAGAACTTCAGCTCTTCCCTCTCAAACCTGCTCCTCCTGCAGTGATTTCTATCTAGGTTAATGGCAACTCTATTCTTCTAGCTTCTCAAGCCAAAAACTCTAGCAAGCCATCCTTGATAACTCTCCCTCACATTCACATCTGATCCTGCAGCATATTCCGTTGGCTCTATCTTGTAAATATATCCAGAATTTGAAGACTTCTTATATCTTTCGGTTACCACTTACCAAGTCACCATCATTGTTTCCTGGATTATTTCAATGGATTTTAAAATTAGCTTCCTGCTTTTACTCTAATCTCTTTACAAGTTTTTTTCAACACAGGAGTAAGAACGATCAAGTTAAGAAAAGTCAGATCATGGGGCTGGCCCCGTGGCCTAGTGGTTAAGTTTGCGCGCTCCGCTGTAGGCTGCCCAGTGTTTCGTTGGTTCGAATCCTGGGTGCGGACATGGCACTGCTCATCAAACCACGCTGAGGCAGCATCCCACATGCCACAACTAGAAGGACGCACAATGAAGAGTATATAACTATGTACCCGGGGGCTTTGGGGAGAAAAAGGAAAAAATCTAAAAAAAAGAAAAATGTTTAAAAAAAAAAGAAAAGCCAGATCATGACATTCCTCTATTCAAAACCCTCTGACAGCTTTTTGTATGTCACGATAAAAGCCCAAATCATACAAGCACCTCATTTTCCACTACTGTTCTACTCCCTTTCCTTCGCCTGCTCCAGCCACATCAGCCTCTTTGAGGAACAGAAAATACACCAGAACTGCTCCTGCTTCACTTTGCACTTCCTGTTTTGTCCGCCTGGAATATTCTCCAAAATATCCACATGGCTCACTATTTCACTTTCTCTACTCAAATGTTGTCTTTTCATTGAGGCCTCCCTGGGCACCAAATTTAAAATTGCAACAGCACACTTTGCCATTCTCCCATTCTTGCTTTCCTTTTTTCCCTAAAAGCACTTACTGTTATCTGACAGAGTACATATTTTACTTCTTTAGCTTGTTTATTGCCTCTCACACTAATATGTAAGCTTCATTTACATCTTTGGGATTTTTGATTCTTTTGTTCATTGCTGAATACCCATCAACTTAGAACAGTGCCTAACACACAACAGGTGTTCAATATTTTAAAAATAAATCCACCACTGTATTCCAGCACCTTGTGTAGATGATAAACATAATAGTGCTCAGAAAATATTTATTGAAAAGAATGAATGTCAAGAAGATGGTGCTTTCTTTTAAAAATATACCAAAACAAGATTAAACCTAGCTTATCACTCTGTACTGTAGAACTAAACCAATCAAAGCCATAAAAAGCTTACAAAAATGCATGGGATCCTTACCTAGGTCAGCTCTTGCCTCTTTTTTCTTCTGAGAGGCCCAACCCACTATGGAGAGTTTATCTCCTCCGGATTTCTCCTCTAAGCCTCTATTCAAGCGCCAGATTTTCAGTGTATTGTCATCAGAGCAGGTAGCAATCTGAGGAGAACCAGGAAGGGAGTTAAGAAGTTTCAGTCAAAGATTCACAACAAAGTAAAGAATAGATGTGTCTTAAGGACTCATGACTAGAGAATTTTATTTCATCTGATATTACAAAATAGAAAATGCAATTTGAAAGATCATATATTTCCATTCCATATACTTTCAGGAACCATTCCAGATTTCCAAAGAAGTGGACTCTCTAGTTTCTTCTTTATATACATTCTACTGGCATGTCTTTCATCACTACTTATTTCTTACCTAGCCTAAAAAGCTCTACTATAAAGCCAGGTTCATTTCATTTTATTCTCAAGAAGTTGGGCAAGTCATTATCTTTATCACCTTCTATATAACTATGAACTATATAATTAAGATACGCTTTTACTCTCTCTTTCTCTTAAATGATCAATCAGCGTATGTCACCAACATGCAACTTCTATGACTTTCTTCTGAATTTCCCTGTTCTGGCTTATTGCTAAAGTAATGGGATCATTTCCAAGATCAGACTCAATCCACGATTCTAGTCTACTCAAGTAGAATGAAACCATTCCTTTGAGATTCTTTTTCAGATAGGTAAAAGGAGCAATCTGGGAAAACAACAAGTTCACTGGGCTGAAAGAAGTTAAAAACAACCTTTGCCCCTTTAAAAATATCTGACCATTTCTGATCTTGGTCCCAAGCCTTTTATGGCAGAGAAAGTCCAGCTTCAAGAGCTGGTGGCAAATGGCCACTGGTACCCAGAACATTTGTTTATATAATTTCTCTATTTCAGTCACTAAAGAGAGAGAAAAAAAGAACACACGTTCTCTTAAGTCTTGGCCCCCAAGAGACTGGCAGCTTTTTCCTTTCCTTACTGGGAGGCCAAAAGAAGACACACATATTTAACTACTCAACAAGAAATGCCTGGAATCCCCAGTTACTCTATAGTTTATTAACAAGAGTTATTATTTACAGAGCGCCTACTGTATGTCTGACAATTTACATTCTTCCTTATTCTCACAATATAAAAAGGCTTGTACTCAAATAACCTCATCTACAAAATGAGAATAAAGTTATTTGCCCAAGGGCACCATAAGTAAGTGGCAGAGGTAGAAACTGAATCCAAGTTTTTCCAATTTCGAAAGCTAGATCCTTTTTTTTAAACCATATTTTACCTTCCTAACTCTAGGCTAGGGCCAAATAATTTTAAAGAAACTTTTAAAATGGTGGTCATTAAACTAGTATAGGTAAACAGCCCTGCCATTTCCTTAGTCTTTTCTGTGCATGGAGATAAAGATAATATATGATGGTGGAAAAAAGATGACATAGTTAACTGAATAATTAAAAAACCATTCATCTTAGTAAGTCCTATGAAGATACAAAATTCCACAGTAAAAGCAGATATTTCACTGGAAGTTACAAGAAATTCCAGACAAAAATGTCATCGGGATGTAATTAGTGGTGATTAAAGCAATGATTTCAAAAAGAGATCTATCATGAAGCTGACCACAGAAACGGTTATATAGTCATGCACCTATAATGATGTTTTGGTCGGTGACAGCCTGCATATCCAACAGTGGTCCCATAAGATTAGTACCATATAGTCTAAGTGTGTAGTACCCTCTAGTTTTGTCTTAAGTACATTCTATGATGTTTGTACGTGACAAAATCGCCTAATGATGCATTTTTCAGAATGTCTCCTCATTGTAAAGCAACACATGACTGTACAGGGTTATAGAAATAAAAAGAAATCCACAGCAGTATTGGAAAGCTAGTAGGGATGCCATGAGTAGATCAGACCATGAGAAGTTTCTGGAATATAAAAAACAGAGGGAACAATAGGCAACAAAGCCTCAAAACATCATACATTAAAGGGAAGATCTCTACAAAAGTGCGATTTCCTGTAAACCCAGAATAACCCAAAGACCAGATGCAGTGAGGGCTGGGAGAGTGAGTGGAACTTGGGCTACTGTTATATGAAATCCCTACATATACACGGAATTTGTTTGTTTCTGGCCTTTCTATATTTCAGGGTTTTTGTTTATATTTGTTTTAAAGTATCACTATTTTAAAAAAACTTAAAAGTGAGCTTCTTTTCAGAGTGCCTAAAACATTTTGAAGCTACTTCTTATGTAGTTTAGCCACAGATAACCTAACATATCAAGACTTCATAGTAAGCATTTTGTAGGCATATGAAAACCCAAACTGGTTTGTGAAGGACAGTCAAGACGTTACCTTTAGTATACTACATTGACAATATGTAGAAAGTTAAGAAGACTAGCTCTTCCCTTAGATTTTCTTTTTATCTTAGACTTTAAGATAAAATTTTAATGATATTAAAACTTAATTCTATGTTTAGGAAAGGAGTGACTAGGGAATCAGGAAATCCACTCTTATTCCTTAGTGCATAATATAATTTCTATTGGTAGAGAAGAGTAGAATATGTATGATTAATGCTGATATAGATCCTGGATGGTCTCTACATCTTTTAAATCTCTGTTTAAACATAAAAGTCTACATAATTCTCAAACTAACCTTGGGAAAACCTACAAATCTGTGATCTACTTTTTAAACCAACTACAGAGATTTGTTTACAAACCTTTGTGAAGTCTGATGGACACCAGCACACAGACGTGACCTCTTGAGAATGACCCAGGAGCACAGTAGGAGGATGCCAAGGTGTGGAGACCTACACACCACCAAAAAAGAGAAAAAACAAGTCAGCAGAACAGTCTTAGGTCTCCCAGATAGAGGCTTTGAATCTCTCTCTATTTGTGCCTTAGAGTTTTAGGGTCGTTACCAAAGACCCCTGGACATGCCTAGTATAATTTGGAAAAACCGTCCCATTGAGCAATGAAAATACTTCTAACATTCATCTGAGAAAACAGAATGAAAATAGCCAAAATAAGTAAATAATATGAGCTTAAATACCAGGACAAGTCTTATTTCAAATTAGGACTACCCAGCTATATATACACTGACTAAAATTCAAGACTGATATTATCTTTCACCTTTCAGCTGATAAACTTTCTGGAGGGATGAGGTCTGGCTGCTAAGTAATACACTTCAAGTGGAGTCCTGTTTCTATATAGCCTAGACGTTTCAGATCTTCTCTAGTCAGCTATTTCCAGGAACTAAGTCCTGAAGGTACCTGACACATGCTAACAGCTCTTGGGACAAGAGGATAGGCTTTCTTCCAAAAGACTCACTGACTTTTACCAAAGTCCAAAGTTATACCCTTTCATTTTGAAGGGTATAAAACTATATTTTACATGGCACTTTGGTATCTTTTTTTGGAAAAAGAAAATTCCTCTAAAATTTTATTTCAGTTAATTTGCTTAAAGAAATCTTGAATTTTCAAGTAAGTATTGCCACATTTTATGTATACATTTATTTATACATTTTAATGTATAAAGAAGGGTCACAGTGTACAGTACTACACACGTGACTAAGAACCATATTTTCCCCTCTCATTGGATGCCACTACTGATATGCATTTGACAGCTAACTCATTCAAGAGCTGTCAATTCCTCTCAGAGGCCATGAGAATTAATCAGCACAATACGGAGTATAAACTCATGTGACTATTATTAGGATGTGCTTGAAAAAGAGAAATTATTCTTTTCACTTTTTTGAGGCTCTGAATCATTGCTCATTTATATGAAGAAAGCACAGGTAACTCTGGAAAGAATATTTGTGAAAATGACTAAGTAAACTTAGCAGATCCCTCAGACTATAGCAAAGAGAAACAACACACTGATTCATAAGGTCATCCAAATAAATTATTACTATTCCTCTCTTGGGTTAAATGGCATATATGTAATGATTCAAAAAGCAAAAGAAGACAAAGAGTAGAGTATAATTTGCCTTGTTGGGTTAATTAAAGTTTAACAGAAAAGGAAGCTTCTTCCTGAGTATTGTCTAAAAGGATTTCACTTACTGCCTACTCTTACAATAATACCACAGAGAACAATAACTCATTCTCTCACAAGGTAGCATATTTTAGAAAAGACTTTCAAGATAGTCTCTAACTACTCAGCAGTCACAGAAATTCTCCTTCCTCCTCCATTTAGGATGGCCCCAGACCATTAAGTTTCTCTTCCAAGCAGGACTGGTAGCAGCAAGTTAAAAGGAAGAAGAAATCCTCATGTCCTTCCTGGTAGAAACACATTATTCTACCCCATTGGTTTAGTCTGCTTCTTGCCTCTAGCTTATGATTTCATGAGACTGCCCCTGTGTCAGTTTCCTAGGAATTACAATATTTACAAGAACTTGAATGTGTGCAAAGGATTAAAATGCATTTCAAGAAAAACCAAACATCCACCAACAGAATATACGTATATTTCTGCATTTATCTATAGGATCTAAGAGAAAAAACAAAGGATAGATCCCTTTGAAAAACTTTTTACAATTTAATAATAAGGTAGGAATAATAACAATGACAATAAAAGTCAGCATTTATTGAATGATTACCATGAGCTAGGCACTTTACATAGCATTAAAAGTGGGGGGAAGGTACCTCAAAAAGTTAAATCTAGAATTAACTACCACATGACCCAGCAATTCCACTCTTAGGTATATACTTCCAGGAGAATTGAAAACATATGCTCAAACAAAAACTTGTACACAAATGTTCATAGCAGCTTTATTCATAAAGCCAGAAACTAGAATAACTCAAATATCCATCATCTGATGAATGAATAAAATGTCTATCCACACAACAGAATATTCAGCTGTAAAAAGGAATGAAGTACTGATACATGCAACAACATGGATATACCGTTAAAACATTAAGTGAGAGAAGTCAGACATGAAAGATCACATCTGGTATGATTCCATTTGCATGAAATGTCCAGAACAGGCAAGTCCATAGAGACTGAACACAGGTTAGTAGTTGCCAGGGGCTGGGGGCAGTGAGGAATGGAGATAAAGTCTTAAAGTGTATGAGGTTTCTTCTCAGAGTGATGAAAATGTTTGAGAATGAGATAGTGGTGATGGCTGCGTAATATTGTGATTATAGTCAAAATCACTGAATCATACACTTTAAAACAGTGAATTTTATATGAATTCTATCTCAATAAAGAAAAGTGGAGGGAAGGGCATGTTGTGGTCTGGAATGAGAATTAATGTCCAACAAGTTTTTATGAATGTTAGTAACAGGCGTTTCACAGTTTAGGACTATCTTAGTATGGTATAGTATACTTGTGACTACTTCAAAGAAGATTAACTTCCTCTAATGAAACTCAGGTAGCTTTTAAATCTTTCACTTTTATTCAGATAAGCTTTTATTTATAGTCACTTCATTATTATAAAAATATTACCATAACAACATGATTTCATTTTTTTTAAAAGCCTCCCTCTACTTTGAAGTAGGAAGAATGGACTATAAGTCCGAGAGACATTTACCTCCCTGCATTCCAGGGATGATCAAAATACAAAAAATTGCTCTCTCTTACATATTCTACTTGTTATAGTATAAAGACTTTAATTCAAGGCATGAAGAATCCCAAGGTTAAAACTCCAGAACTATGAAGGTACCTATAGAAGTAACTGGCTCTAACCTATAGACCTCATAAAACATTTTGTATACTTAAATATGCAAAAAAGATCAGCACCTTTCCTTAAAAAAATCTCCTTATTGCCCAGTTAGAAACCAAATCTAATCTTTATTTCTGCCATGAGATCATTTACACTTCCTAAAGTGTCAGGCTCAATGTTTCGCCAGTCAGCGGTAGAATGACTGTGCCAAATCAGTTTATTTATAACCACTTCAATACCATTCAGTGGCTACATCAGAAATGAACCAGGGAAGAGGGGCTAAGGGTGAGGGTGGGACAAAGGGTAAGAAATTACAAAGAAAAAATTTAATATTAAATCTTTTGATTTTTAAGTTTTGAGTCTCAGTATCAGACATTCAAACCATACTACATCTCCCCCTTTTCAGGCAGTGGTAAGGATTAAAAGGTCATTCTTTTTTGTCTTAAGATCTAAAACTCCCTTCTTTCACTGTTTTTTTTTTGCCCATGGGCTTTTCAGTGTAGGAAAAATCCCAACATTTGAGAGAATTCTGTCCTCTTGGAAGCAGCAGGGTTATAAGACAACCTAACAGCCTGGATACTCAGCTTGCATGGAATTGTTTTTAAACTACTCTTCCTCCCCCTATTTTATCATGGAAAAGAGAAACTGAGCCACCTCACTAGGCAAATTCAATTTTAGGAGCAGTAAGCCTGCCAGGATCTCAAATATCAGAGCCTGAGTTACGTGTGGACAGGCAGGAGAACATCATGTCTGAACCACGTCATTGAGCACTAACATGTGACCCAGCCTAGGAATTCAGAAAGGGTCACTCATGTATGTGATAGCCACTGACTGAATGTCTGAAAATGGGTTACGAATAGCAGCCAAGTATCTTTACTGCATGTCTTTAAAGAGAGGACATATCCCTCAATCCTCATTCCTTGAAACAAACAAAAAAGGGCCTTTGTACTAGACAAGAGGGCTAGGAAGGAACTTTAAGAATTGGCAATAAAACTATACCTATAGCAACACACACACGATATATATAATTAGATACATAATTATGCATATATAATTAAGAAACTGATTTTAAATGATTAAAAAAATGACCAGTGCATAAGTATTTTTTGCATAATCCTTTATTATACTTTTTGGCATGTCTGAAAAGCTTTTTTTAAGAAGAAACTTAAAAAGATACAGACTTTGGTGGAATAAAATCCTCTAGCCAAGTTGAAAGCCAAAGTAGACAAAGGAATGTAGTAGGTAAGACAGAGAGGGAAGGAGAAAGGGAAAACAAAAAGATAGTAAAATAAGAAGCCTAAGACCAAATTTGAAACTCAAAATTTAAAACATAAAACAAGAGAAGCATTAGTGCTAGTGACATATTGCTAACGTTTAAAGCTCAATTCAGAATTTTACAGACAAGCAGCTAGGTAAAAACTCACATATAGGGGTCTCAAGTATATATTTTATAAGCACATTTTCATTTAAAAATATAACAAATAAAAGAAAGAAATGTGCTTGTAGAAAGAGGCAAGACCAATACAAAAGCATCTTGGATAGAACAATATCTCCACCTTGTGACCATCTAGGATATTGTTACTAAAAGCTTTTAATAAGGCAGTGTTGCATTTTTGCAACTCTAGGTATACAGAGAAGTCATTTTTTTAGTACTTCCCCCAGGCCCAGAGGAAATTAAACTGAAGACTTATGCTTCATACCTGACAGGTTCTATCCCTGTCCCAAGACAACATTAAAGATGTGACTTCCTAGAGGATGGCAGGACTAAGAATGATAAAATTTTCTCCTAAGAAGGGATTTGATACTATAGAATCTATGGGTCTATGAAGTTTTAGACATGACTCTAAAATCCAAAATGTGTGAACTCTGATCATTCAATTCACCCATGTCAAAGATACTTCTGAAATTACAGGGCAATCTAGAGGATAATTCATTTCTAGCCCTAGGAAAACAAGGCTTTAATGCTGCTCTTCTTTCTCTGAACTCCCACACGTTTCTATAATTAATTATTGCCACAAAAGCCATTTTTTTTAGTGGTCAGCAAGTGTACTTGTGTAACATTTCAATTTTCTGTGCTGGACTTCAAATGGATAGCTTCACATTTCTTAGCTCACAGTAAAACTTTAGAATCACTGTTATTTACTTATCCATTCTTTTTTTTTTTTGATTAAGATTAGCCCTGAGCTAACATCTGCTGCCAATCCTCCTCTTTTTGCTGAGAAAGATTGGCCCTGAGCTAACATCCATGCCCATCTTCATCTACTTTTTATGTGGGACACCTGCCACAACATGGCTTGATAAGTGGTGTGTAGGGCCACACCCAGGATCTGAACTGATAAACCCCGGGCCACCAAACCAGAGCACATGAACTTAACCACTAAGCCACCAGGCTGGCCCCTAGAATCACTGTTATTTAAAAACAAAAAAATATATATATAAATTCGTGTAACAGAAATGGGAAATCTATAAAATTAAAAAATAAATTAAATAATGCTATTAAATACACACAAAACTGATAATGCAGCCACATCTATTTTAGTAGCCTGAATATTAGCCACTTATAAGACGAGAGTAAAGAATACAATTATTATACAAGTACTTTTGAGTGAGTGTTTTGTACAAGGCTCCATGGATGATTTGGGTGTAGGATCCTAGGGCTCAAAATACTATACTTTGAATGAGTTTGAAAACACAGGGTGGAAAGGCAGTACAGTACTTTTTTCTAGGAAGCAGGACAAAGCAGTTAAGATTCTTCCAGTCTTCTGAATTCTCAATTTCTTGATAATCTGTGAAACTGTTGGAGGATATGGATTGCCAATTTCTGAGAAGCTCTGGCCATGAAAGTGTGATATATTCTGTGACGGTCAGAGTGAGGTTTTGGCTATATTAAGAGGCAAGAAGCAACTTTTACAGAACATTTGTTGTAGAAAAAGTTATTGGTACGTGTTTACACTAAACTTACCTTATCTTGGAAAGAAAACATATTTGCAAGAATATTTTAGTGTCACCTTTGTGGGGGAAGTTTGGCAACTTACCTTCCAGATGTAGGCAGCTTCATCACTTGAGCCACTGACTAAAAACTGGTCATCTGGACTAAGACTGGATTTAACATAAAAGGTAGAGTTCTGATGTCCATTGAAGACAGCCACTGCCAGAGGGAAAAAAATCAAACTACTTGGTTTCCAGTGTTCAAATAAATGCAGTCAGTATACATGTTATAACAAGTTTTATTAGTGTATTGACTATTGAGGCAGATGGTCTAGCTATATTCACCAAATAAAAGGGAACTGGACATTGGTAGAAAAATAAAGGAAATCCTAGAAAGAGGCTTTATATTAGACTTAATCTCACGATCTAAACCTAACTACTTGGTGTGGAGCTGGCTATAGAGAACAAAGTGATGAAAAACATTCTTTAAGGACAAGAATGGAGCCAATGTTCAGTCTTTTAGGAAAACGCCTTTATTAGACCCTCTCTCCACACCCCATGGTAGGGCTTTTCCCACTGCATAAAACATTGGTCTTTCCCACTCTTAGACTTCAAATCTCTTCAGGATAAATTTCATATCTTATTCTTTCCTCACTAGATCCTATAGTGCTTTGAATAGAGTAGATCTCAAACATTGTTGCATGAATAGGTAAAAATCAGCGAAGAGTTAAGATTTATGGATAGCTTATCTGGGATGTGGGAATCTTTTTAATCCAGCACTTTAAATAGGTTGAATAGTAGAAATAACTAGTGGAGTAAACTATATATTCATATGTAAGATCCTCCAACTAGGTTAGGTTTAGATTTCTCACCATCCCATAGTAACAGGGCAAGTAATCCAATCTAGCATAATTTACTCCACAGGTTCCTTTATCGTAAGGAGACCAAAACCTGAGGCCTCCAGCATCAGACTACCACCAGGAAATAAAAGAAAAAAAATCTCAATTATTGGAGAATTTAAGAATACACTTAGGCAGGAAAAAGAAAATTTCACTCCAGTCTTCTAACAGAGGGGAAAAGAAGAATTATTACAGGACTTAACAGCTTTCCATTAAGTGCTGAGAAGTCCCTTCCTTTTGCCAGATAAAACTGAAAAAAAATGTTGCATTTACAGTTTTTCAAGAAAAAGTCTACATATCAAATATTCTCCACATCAAACAATTTTACTGCAAAACAGGATATAAATCAATTCAGATACATGTATTACAGACCTACCATGACAGGTAAAGCCCCACAAAATAAACAGTCTCCTTTATTCTGAATACAACTCCAAAACTATAATTGTTTATCTTTCTCAACTCTAAACTATGAATGGAAAACTATAGGCCAAATTTCCCAATAAACTTCTAGGTATTTATTGCCCTCTGCTGGTCTAAGAAAGACTAGCATAAAGTACACTTCAAATGTTTCAAACAATGTGAAAAATTCTTCTAAAACCTTTATTGACTTTAATTAGCTCAATTTAACCTTTCTGTGATGATTTGGGCTCTTAAAATACTTCGTTAAACTGCTTCAGAGTTATCCTTACGCACATCACTTAGTATAACAAAATACTGTGAATTAAAAGTATGGGAGATCAAGTATTGAGACCAGGACCCTTCTTAAAGTTTTGAAAAAGACAAACACTTACCAGATGTCTCACAAACACATCTGTCTGTCATTCAATTTCTAAGGAACATTATCTACCTACCTAGGAGAGCCAATCAAATTATTTTAGGAGCAGAGGAAGAAGATAACTAAATTAATAAAGTGGCTTTGGGTACATTTGTTTGATGGTAGAGGGACAAACTAAACCAAAGCCCCTTTTAGTGCCACACTATAACAAAATGATATAGAAAGAGCTCCTGCACATCTAATAATATAATTAGGATTAGGCTTTTATCTTTGGGGAAAGATTTTAAAAAGTTTATTTTATATAACCAAATTAGAAGTTGTCCAAGTTCTGATTCCATTCAGAAAAATAGTAAAAAACAGTTAAAATCTCTTCTCTTTTCCAAATACTCCTGCTTTTGTTTAGACAACACCAGACCTATCCAGGGCATTGGAAATGCCAATTGTGATGTTGCCACAGATATCAAAGTCCTAATAATAATGGCTTGGGGACAGTCTTTGGAAACTTCTGTAAGAGCCCAGCTAAGTTCTGTACTATTTTGAGATTTCTTGTTCATCAGTACATCTCATTTTGGTGGGAACTGGGTAGCTCTGGGGATTGGTTATAGAATTCAAAGTCTGTTTCTGACAGAGCTGTTACTGAGGAAGAACTAGGTTACTCATATGTAGCTTGCTTAGGTAATTGATAGTGTTCTTAAAATTACATAATCCAAATAACCCTCTTAGAGAAACTTTGGTGTGTAAAAAATGTCATTGATCAGCTTTAAAAATCAGATTCCACTTTAATTTTCTTGAAGAGAAAAAAGCTGAGGTTGGGGAAAACATCTAGAGATAAATTAGCCTCTGTCCAACATTAAGGAGAAGGCTGAGGTAGGCAGGAACTATTTGGGGGGCTTAAAAAACTCAGCCCCCTCATTTCAATGAAAAACCTCCAAACAGGACAAGAGCTGAGCAGAACAGCTTCTCTACTCCACAAAATTAAGACAATTCTAAATATATCCAAAGGAGCATAATTTCAGGAGAGACTCACTATTAAAATAAAATTAAGTCATCATATAGAGCAAAATTCTGTTTACTTGTGAAATCATCACAAAGGAAGGACAGCTATGAAATCACTGGAACGAATCAAAGACCCCAAAGTCCTGATATGTCTTAACCTGGTTTGAAAAGAAAAATCAACATTAAATTATCATTAACACAAAAGTCTGTAATAGTTTCTGGGTAAGAGAATTTGAATGTCTCAGCTCCTACCTGGAGAAGTCTTTAATCCAGTCATATTGAACATGTAGATGTTATCATCTGTGCAGTTAGCAAATAGAGTAGAGCCAGTGGAATCCAAAATCAGACTTGAGTATCCTGGAAAAAGGAAACTTTAGTTAGCATGTCCTGATGACAGGGAGAAGAACTGAGGTGAAAATCTTTTTGGAGGCAAAAAGATCATTCCACAAGAAGAATCATCAGAATTCTTCTTCTCCTAAATACATACAAACCAAAAATATTCTTCTGAGTTTTTATCTTTTGAACTTCAAAAAGATACAACCACATATTACAGTTTTTCAAGTCTATGTTGCTGAAACCTAGCTTGATATTTATTTTTTAAATTTTAACAAAATCTCACCTCTCCCAAAAAGTCCTACAGTCTATGCAAAGGCTTACCTAGTTTTCGAGTGCTGCTACCTGGGTACAGGAAAGACTTGGATGCTATGGGTTCTTGTCGATAAGCAGTATAATTCTTACGCAAATCCCATATTTTGATTATCCTAAAAACCAAGGTAAAGACAGTTATTTTGTAGTATTTCTCCAACTCCAACCAGTTTGAACTACGTTGAATGACAAATGACTTTTAATCTAACTCCTCTGGCACATCAACCAGGTACGGTGAGGATATCTCATTGGGAAACAGATTGAAGTAATGTCAGGTTTATGATTCTGGCAGAACGGAAACAGATGTGATCTGACCCAGTGATGGGTTACCCTGAGTTTACTTCAAGAGAGCGGAAAAGGAAGATGAACGTTGTGTGCTGATAGTCATTGTTCTATTGTTTTCAGGAAAAAAACGCTTCCTAAGCCTTTAACACTCTGCATTTAACCTCTGACATCACAAGCAACAAACTCTGTCCCTATGGTTATATCTCTCTATATAACTCCTTAAGTAATCTAGTCTAAACAAATTTTCCTATGAAATATTTCTTATTTAATCTATTGAGATAACTGTCTCAATCTTCTACATCTAGTTTGAAGGCAAGCTGAAAACACAAGCTTGGTAAACATGGGCAGTATCCTTGGAAACGGACAAAGCAAGCTCTCACAGCCATTCACAAGCATTACTATAACCTTTAGATAATCCTTTATTTGTGCCTGAGAATTTCGTCCACAGAAGAGTTTTAGTGTCTAGAGGACACAATGGAAATCCTCGTTTATCAAGTCATCATCCTTTTAAATTACATTTTTTGAAGGGAGGGTGTCTTGAGAGATACAATGAGCAAATAAGGGAGCAATGAAGGGTGCCTATATTCAAAAAACTTATATTCTAACAAAGCAACCAATCAAAAAGTACCACAAACTTATTTGGAAGCCAAAAATTCAGACCAATCATGGATGGCAGGTAAGTGAAAATCATCAGGCCTTACTGTCAATCTAGTCAGATTACTCCCAGAAATGCCAATTACACGCCCAAAATCAGACTCCTTCTTTTAGGATATTACTAAACCTGAGAAGATAAAACCCAAAATAATAGAAATTTAACTCCTCAAAATAAGAATCACTGACTAAGTTATACTGCATAGACAAGCAAGCTACCTATCCAGCTTCTCTGCAATAGCATGAGCAGCTAACACTGCTATGTGCTAGACAATGTTCAAAGTGTGACACCTGTATCATCTCATTTAATTATTTGAGCAAGAGTCCAAACTAGGTATTTCCAGTGTGATGTGTAGTTCCTCTTCTCAGCTGGGTACTCACTACGTCGAAAGTTAAAAGCACACACATTCAGTTATAATGGGACTGGGTGACTTCCCCATCACAGTTCATGAAAGAGATATCATCAAAAGAACCCAGAAATGAAGACTCTCACCCATCCACAGCTCCTGCTGAGACTAACGTATTCTCATCTTGAAAGAGGACCACAGTCACGCTCTGCTGGAAATCCTAAGCATGAAGAAGAAAAAGAAAAGAAGGAAATCCTATTTTGGGTATCACAATCTTCACCATCAAGGGGACCAAGATGCCAAAATAACGGCTTTCCCCCCCAAACTCTGAGTTAAGACCAAATCTTCCCTCTCCAATACTCCTAATCAGATATATATGCTGACCAAGAAGTAATTTTAGCAAGGAAATGACCTAAATATCAAGTTATAGTACATACTGTTAACACTTTGACTTGTACTCAAGAAACAAACTAGTGATTAAAAGATTTTATTTCTATAAGCCTAATGGCTCTAAGTAGAACCAGCCTTACTAATCAGCTGTGTATTCTTAGGAAACTCGTTTAACTTTCCTGTGCCTGCTTCATCTATAAAATGTCACCACCTACCTAGATTATCTATAAAAGTCTCTAAAGAACTATGGATGAAAGATGATTACATGCTCTAATAAATTTAAAGGAGCTCAACGGAGTTTTACCTCTTCATTGCAGTTAAAGTTTTCTTGGCTCAGAATCTGATTAAATGTCTGAAATTTTACTCATTTTAACTTTATCTGGCCTCCAAAGATGGTAACCCTGTCAATTTCTACTCATGCCTATGTTCTGTTCATGGTATGCAATTTTAAGTCCTGATGTAGCAAACTGTATCATAGTACTTAATATGATTCTTCAAACTACCCCCCCTTTCCTAATAAATCATATTATACTGTAGATGAGTGTATGCATGGAGATCTCTAAGGATGAGGCTCAGGAAGATGAATTTCTAACATGCTCCCTAAGTGACTCTTGCACCCTAGAGTTTGAGAACCACTGCTGTAGGTATTGAGTAAGTGTTAAGCAATAAACCACTGATACCAAAAAGAAATGAAGATTCTCACTCACTTAATCTATCGTTCCTATTTTATGCCCAAAAAATTCCCTAAAAAGAGATTCTATCCTACTGTTAAGATCTGCACACATGTATACAGCTATAAACCCTTACCACAGAAGGAGCAAGTCCTTTTGAATTCTGTTTCTTCTTGGGTTTTGAAGGGGTTTGCTTGTCTAAGGTATTGTGAGCTCCACTGATTTGATTCACCTGCCTATAAAATCCATCTGAAAGATACCCCAAGGAGATCGATTTAGGCTTCAGAATTTTATTCCCATACTGAACGTAACATTTGTACATAAGACCTCAAAATCAATTTATATTATTTATTAGATTAATGAAATTAGAAGCCAGTAGAGGTACTGTACTACATCTCTAGTGGTGAGATTATGACGTATAAAAAGGAAATAAACACACAGATATTTACAGAAGCTTTATTCATAATTGCCAACACTTGTAAGCAACCAAGATGTCCTTCAGTAGGTGAACCTATGAATAAACTGTAGTATATCCAGACAATGGAATATTACTCAGTCCTAAAAAGAAATAAGCTACCAAGATGAAAAGACATGGAGGAACCTTAAATACACATAAATACATATTACTAAGTGAAAGAAGCCTCTCTGAAAAGGCTACATACTGTATGATTCCAATTATATGACATTCTGGGAAAGGCAAACCATGGAGACAGTAAAAGATGAGTGGTTGCTAGAGGTTGGGGGGGCAAGATAAACAGGCAGAGCACAGAGGATTTTCAGGACAGTGAAACTATTTTGTATGATAGTATAATGGTAAATATATGTCATTATACATTTGTCAAAATCCATAGAATGTATGATACCAAGAGTGACACCTGCTGTAAACTACAGATGGACATTGTGTGATAATGATGTCTCAACGTAGGTTCATTAATTGTAACAAATGTCCAACTCTGGTGCGGGATGTTGATAGTGGGAGAAGCTGTGTGGGGATAGGGAGTGAACAAGTACAGAAAGAACAGCTCAATTTTGCTGTGAATCTAAAATTGCTCTAAAAATTAAGTAAATTTTTCTTAAAAAAGAAAGTATGCAGGGAGATGATCATTGCTTTCTGTTTAATGGCAGTATGGGGCAATGTGAACATAATTATATTTAATTTCATCCAATTCTTTAAAGCTGAAAAGAAATTTAAATCAAAAGATCATTTACCAGTGAGCCTATTAATAACTTCAATTCCATCAATAATTTAGGTAAATAGCATTACAGTTCAGAAGACAATATGAGGTAAATATGGATAATACTTGAAATAATCACCAAGATTTGGAGAACTAGAACAGTGAGCAGAAATGGGGGATTATGAACACGTGCCCCCTGATGGTAATCAGATAAAATCACTAAGCCTTTCATGCAAAATAATAAAGTATGGGGTAATCCCACATTTATCAAATTTAAAGTGGAATTAGACTACCTTTTTTGTTGCACCTGGTGTCCCAGACCATAATGTTGCCGTCTCTTCCCCCTGTACAGAAGACAGCTGTGCGGAAACAAACAGTTTGTCAAGAAGTTAACAAAATCAGTCAATGACATATACATTTCAATTTAAGTTTCTTAGAACATCTCTTCTATGCTAGATACTGTCATTGGCAATGGAGATTAAAAATGAAAAAAACATGGCTCAACAACAAGAGAAAACAAAGCTGTAAAGGAAAAGGATTAAAAAGAGCTCAAAACACTTGTGTTAAACAAAAACTTTATAGAATAATTTTCTTTTTTTTTTCCTGAGGAAGATTCACCCTGAGCTAACATCTGTGCCAATCTTCCTCTATTTTGTATGTGGGTCGCCACCACAGCATGGCCACTGCTGAGCGGTGTAGGTCCGTGCCTGGGAACCAAACCTGGGCTGCTGAAGCAGAGCATGTTGAACTTAACCACTAGGCCATGGGGCCGCCCCCTATAGAATAATTTTCTTAAAATCACATAAAATACTACATATAATAAAGTTATAATGAGAATAATGATAAACAAGGAATAACCAAAATATACTGAGTGTTTACTAAGTGCTAGACACTATCCTAACTGCTTTATATAAATTATTTCAATCCTTGTTATAAAATCATACTAGGTGGGCATTATTATCCCCTTTTTACAGATGAGAAAACTAAGGCACAGAGAGGATAAGTAACTTGTAAAGGTATTCTTGGCAGTACGAATCCAGAGCCTCCACTCCAATCCTCCAAAATATGGATGGATCCATATAAAATTTGTATGGATTGAAGGAAGGCAATGGGATTAGAGAACAGAGCATAGGGGAATTTCAATTTATTTGTAATATTTTATTCCTTAAAATCAAACCAAAAAAACACTGCTTCCTGTACAGAAAAGTGAGCACTCAACAAACCAATCTATCTGCATTAGTTGTAAACTGGACAAAATATTAAGACAACTATCTGAGGGCTCTACAGAGATTAAACAAAAACATGCAATTTTTGGAGGGGAGTCAACACATGAAGCAAGGATTGGTCTGGGTTAAGTAACTGGGTTTTTTTGTGGTTTTACTTTGAGGGCAGCCACAATTGCAGCATCAGTACCAGGCAGCTAAAATGCCAAGAGAAAAACCTGCCATCTTTCCAGCCAGAGGAACTAGGAAACAGAGAACTGGGATAACAAGAGCTGCCAGAAGGAGGGGGAACTCTGGAGAGAGTTAGAGAAAGAGAAACCCTAATTCTGTGTTTAGACATAGTGCAAGTCTCTGGCTGACCCTTCAACCATATATAGTCATGTGTTGCTTAACAACAGGGATACGTTCTGAGAAATGCACCATTGGGTAATTTTGTCTTTGTGCAAACATCATAGAATGTACTTAAACTTAAATGGTATTGCCTACTACACACTTAGGCTACACAGTACTAACCTTATGGGACCACTACTGTATATGCAGTCTGCTGTTGACCGACATGTTGTTAAGTGGCACATGACTGCACGCAAGAGAAAACTAAAAGCAACTTGTAACTAAGGCTTAAATTAAAGAACTGAACTGAGATCTGTCCCACTGCTCTCCTGCAGGTTTGAAAGTTTGCAATTTGAGCCTGAGTTAATTGCTTATTAAAACAAAACCATCAACTCTCTTCTGAGCAATATAACAGAATCCAGAGTCACAAAGCCCAGGATATAATAAATTACTTGATGTATAGAGAGACAGGAAAACGAGTCATTTTCAAGGGAAAAGAAATCAACAGAGGCAAACCTGAAACAATCCAGATGTTAATTTATCAGATAAGGTTGTAAAGCAGATATAACTAAGTCACGTGAAGTAAAGAAATAGACTCTCATGATCAATGCAAAGGTGAGAAACTCAGCAAAGAAAAAAACAGAACTTATCAAAAACAAATGGAAATTTTAGAACTGGAAAACACAATTTCTGAAATGATAAAATGCATTGGATAGGCTTAAGTACAGAATGGAGAGAAAAAAGGAAAAAGTCAGTGAACTTGAAAACAGATCAATGGAAATCGCTCAATTTGAAGAAGAGAAAAAATAAGATTGAACATTATGCTAAGTGAAAGAAGCCAGTCACAAAAGACCACACATTGTATAGTTACATTTATATGGATGTGCAAAATAGGCAAATCTAGAGACAGAAAGTAGTTTAGTGGTTGTGTAGGGCTAGAGGCAGATGGAAAGTACTGCTAATGGGTTCTGGTTACTTTTTAGGCTGACAAAAATGTTCTAATCTTAGATTGTGGTGACAGTTGTACAACTTTATAAGTACATTAAAAACTATTAAAATGTGCACTTCAATTGGGTGAATTTTATGGTATGTTAACTATATCTCAAATTTAAGAAAATGGAAAAATACCTAACAAAGCTTCAAGGATTCATGGGACAATTCAAAAAGTCCAATATATGAGTAACTGGAGTACCAGAAGGTGAGGAGAGAAAATAGGGCAGAAAAATATTTTAAGAAATAATGGCAGAAAACTCCCCAAATTCAGTGAAACATATTTGTAAATTTACAAATTCAAAAAGCTCAGCAAGCCTCAAACAGGATAACTTTGAAGGCTGCCTAGATACATCATAGTCAAACTGCTGAAAACCAAAGAGAGAGAAAATCCAGAAAGCAATCAGGAAAGACAACACATCACAAGAAGGAAATGATCCAAATGAACAGACTTCTCAACAGAAGCCATGGAAGACAATGAAACAACATCTTCAAGTAATGAAAGGAAAAAAACCGTTAACAAAGCAGATTGATTACAACCACACTCAAACTATAAAAAATGTTAAGGGAAGTTCTTCAGGCTGAAGAAAAATGGTATCAGAGGACAAAGGAAAGATGGTATTGCCAGGGGGAAATCATGAGTTCAGTTTTAGGTATGTTGAACTTGAGGTGCTTGCAAGAGAGGTTAAAGCTGGAAATATAATCTGGTTAAATACACACGGAGTGAAAAATAAAACAAAATTGGAACGATGAAACTGTCCAGGGAGAAGGAAAGGAAGGGCAAATACCAAATCCTGCCCCATGTCAACACTGCAAGTTAGGTAAAGAAGTGGAATTCACAAAAGCAACTCTGAAGAAATAAACAGAAAGACTGAGACCCAGAGGAAGCGGTATCTCAGATTCAAAGAAAGAAAAGAATTTTGAATTTTTATACATGGCCACAAGTGTCAAATATTACACAAGTAAAAGAAAGGCTGATTTCAGGAAGAGAGCTAGGAGTGGAAAACAGATTGAACCAAGTTGAAATGAGGAAATTTAGCCAGCTTTCGATTATCTTCAAGAATCTTAGAGGAGAGAGAAAACAAGATAGCTAAAGGAGAACACAAGGTTAAGATGTTTTTTGGGACAGGCCACAGACATGCTTGAGGCTTTCCTATGGAGAAAGCGCCAATAGAGGGAGAAAGCTTGAAGATATAGGAGCTGTGGGGACTAAGTGATGGTGTATCGTCCTGGGGAGGATGAAGATGTTTTCTCAACCTCAGCTGCACATTGGAATCCCTTGAGGAACTTAAAAAAAATAGATGCCTGGCCTACCTCCCAGAGATGCACATTTAATTGTTATTCTTAAAAAACATTCCCAGGCAACTAACATGTAGTTAGGGTTGAGAACCAGTGGTCTAAGGAAGGAAGGACTGACCTTGAACTGGAGAATAAACAATGAGAGAGAAGGTGCAAATCTAAAGGTAAGTTTGTAGAAGGAGAAATGGAAATTTACTTACAATCATTTTTAATTATCCACCAGAACTTCTACCACTCCTTTTTCCACACGAAACACAAATCTGTGAGTCAATTTTCCTTGTTTTCAGATGGTCCATATTTAGGGAAGGCAAATTCTACTAGTATGACTATGTCCTATTAGGATTATTGGTATCCTGCCCATGTGGGGCTGAAAGAACTGGATCAATGATCTTTCCTACCATGCTACCTATCAAAAAAACCACTAAGCACTTATATAGTCCTCAGGGTGTTTTTTTTTAATACGTTCACATCTTACTTCATTTTTATGCTTATAATATTTTTGTGAGTTAAATAGAATAGGTATTAATCTCATTAAATTAAGAAATGAAGGTCCAGGGAGATATAAATGACTTTGCTCAAGAACTCAGAGGCAGAAACGAGAATAAAACACAGGGCTTCTATGTACGGTTGTAAAAGTGTGCCTCACACTAGGGCATTTGGCTGAGGAAGTAGGGGCTAAAATCTAATATGTTTTACCAACCTAACTATGTGGCCTTAGGAGCAGTGTCCAACCAGACTAATTCACACTAGGGCACCTGTGGACTACTGGGAGTCATGACAAAAGCTACCTACCCCTATTTCTAATTCAGTGCTTTTTCTACTAGACCACATAGCTTCAATATACAGTTTTAAAAATTAAGCAAAGGGGTCAAAGATACAGTGTTTTCCTTTTCTATTACCCTTTAAATAAATTACCTTTAGTAATATAAATTTTCACAATCTTAAATTATTTTTATAAACTCAGAGTGAACTCTGACTCAGGAGTGTAGTGAACTAGAACAAGCATATCTAACTTTATACAATAGATGTGTTAATGAAAAGTTACAGAGATAAGAAACTATGCCATATATTTCCTCTTCAAGGTTCCAGTCTCAACAGCATCCACAGTAGATTAAAATTGACCTTTTTGATTTTAGGTCCCAGATGGTGGTACAGGAAAACCCTGAATTCACCTCTCCCACAGACACATTGAATTTACACCTAAATACAAGAGCAATTCTTTCTGAAGAACTGAGGGCAGATTGAATAGCTTCTGCACAACAAGCAATAGAGGCACCACACAGAGAGGGGTAGGAGAGATGGAGACACATATCCATGGGAACCCCACTCCCAACAGACAAGCTGCAGGTTATCATTGAGGTGCCTGCCCTGGGGCACAGCGAAAAAAAAAACAGTAGTTTAAAGGGCACCTAGACTCTATGGGAAGGAAATCCCTTTACTAAATCTGTCAAATAGGTAAGAAATTGCTGGAACTCTCTCTGGGGTCGTAGGTGCTGGCAAGTGACATTTTTTCCCAT